TGACTTCTGTTTTGGGAGAAATTCATTCTACCTGCAGGCAAGGTGTGACTTATTTATCCTCACTGTCCTCCTGAAAACATATTTAAACCAGCAAAATCATTCTCCAGGGCCTTTGGAGAGACAGGAATGGGGCTCTGTGTGTGTGTGTGTGTGTGTGTGTGTGTGTGTGTGTGTGTGTGGCAGTGGTAGCATCTGACCCGCTACATGGCTGAATCAACTCCTGTATCACGGAGAGCATCTGTACGGCCCCTGACAGGATGCTCAGATGAGCAGAATCTGGAGTCCTGAGTTGGTGTACATTCATTCAGTTAAGGGATCCTTGATCTAAAACCCAGGCAGACTTGGTCTTCCAGCCTGCCAGTAGGAAAGTCCAGCCACCAGCTTGGGGTAGAAAGGTCTGGATTTGATTGAAGATGGATGGTTGGCAGGTGGAAGGAGAGGGTGAGGGGGGCCCAGCTCATGGGTGTTTTTTCCCCATCTGAATATGCTGGTGAACAGCAATAACATGTAATTTCTGGACACACCCGTAAGCTGTATTGGAAGCTGAGTCCTGTTTGCCATCAGAATTGGTTTTTGTTCAAAACTCGTGCTGGTTGTGGTCTATATTACTATGGATGGAGGTGCTAGCAGGCAGCACATAATTATTTTTGGAAAGGATGTGCCTTGTTTCGCCTATGTTTGCAAGCTCTTATTAGCCTTTCCCCTCAAAATTATTTAAAGAAGACAAGATAATTCTATAGAAATACACCTTTACACCTGGAACCTCAGGTGTATGATGTGTTTAAGAGGGCCACACCTATATTTATAGATCTACGTGCCAATTACAGAAGCACACAAAGCCTGGTCTGTTTCTTCTTACATACTTTTAAGTTAAAATACTGTTTCCTCTGTTTTCTTTTCACCTCCTTATCCCGAGAAGTCCACATTCCCTTCTGAGGAGCATAAGAAGCTCCAAGACGGAGACCTGGGCTGCACCTCATCCTCCCCTTTCTCTGACTGGTGCTTCTGTACCTGGGAGATGCACCCTCTAGCCATGAACTTTTAAACTCTGTCTTCCCACTAGACAGCCCTCGGTGGACGTAGGAAATAGGACTTCTATTTCTTGTACCTCCACCAGCACCCAACCCAATTTCCCAGACACCAACCCAGTGCACGCCCACATTGGTTTACCCACACACGGGTAGACGGTGTGGGGGCCACTCTCACATGGAGGAGAATAAAGAAAACCTGTGTCCAGCCCAGCCCATCTGTAAAGCTGGCTGCTAGCTGCCACATCAAGGTGGCAAGAACGGCCCGACGTGCTGCCAGCTCCAAGTTTGGAAACCATCTTCTGTTGTTGGAGAACCGCGACCTCCCCTCCCCTTTCTCGTCCACTTGGCCCCAGGGCCAGCGAATGCCTCGGGAGCACGCTTATTGCCAAACAGGAAAGTACAAAACAGCACAAATTTGAATTGCAGAGGAGAATCTGAAGTAAATAAAGACATATGAATTCACAGACCAAATAGGCAGATTTGGGGCTGGCCGGCGATTCTACTTTGGAAGGACTATGGGAATCCATTTGGGAGAGCAGAAGGTTATTTAATTTTAGTTCAGTTTAGTGCAGTTTTGTTTTTATAAGGAAAACACTGGGGTGGCCTCTCTGCTGGGCCGTCTTTGCCTCAGTCTTTCTGCACCATGACCACGGGATCTTCTTTGGGCCTGGGGGGCTGCTCTTGGGTTACGCGTGGGTGATGAGCTGGGACAGGTACCTGTGAGGGAGTGAGTGTTCCAGGCCTGAAAGCATCTCATGCGTTTGTTTTGACCAGTTCACGTGTGCTCCCCCACCTCTCCCTGAAATTTCGCAAGGCCAGAGCATTTTGATGAGCTGGCCTTTCTTCTCATCCCAGGGCGTCCTCCCAGGCCTTCGCTTACAGTGCATGTTAGGAGCCTAAGAATGCTCAGGATGGACAAATAATGACGGAATTCATGGTCCTGGTGGTCATGCTAATGACAGTGACGGCAAACACATGCGGCTGGGGATGGGCCACCCACTGTTCTCGGGGCTTATACTTCACCCTCACTGCAACTTTAGGAGGTATTGTTGTTCTCATCCCTGTTTTACAGATTAAGAATTGAAGGCACAAAGGGGTTTAGTAACTTCCCTAAGGTCACACGGCTCCAGTGCCGGGATTTGAACCCAGGCAGTCAGGCTCCAATGCTATGCCATGTTGTTGCTGCTCCGCTAGTAACAAGTACATCACTTATAAGCCACGTGAAGGGCACTGGGCCAAGACAATCAGAGAGATTTAGGAGGGAAGAGCTCCAGGGACACTGGGGTTTGCCTGAGGCCACATGGTAATGGTGGAACTCAAACTTAAATGTGGCTTCTTGACTACAAAAACACACTCTCTTTTCACTGAACTATTCTCAGATGAAAAGGTTCCAAGCCCAGGCCATTTCAGGGTAAGGAAGGAATTGGCTCGCCGCGCATGCAGAAGCTTCCAGAAGTACCCAGCTTTATGGGACAGGTCTGCTTATGACATGTTATGTCTAAATGAAGTCAAGCCATTTTTGAGCCAGGAAAGGGTAGATGTTGCTATTTAAAGGAACCTCTTTTGCTCCCCCCCCCCCCCCACCCCAAGGCAAAGACTCACTCCCTAGTCTACCTTCTGTGTTAATGAAGAAGCAGAAGATGGAGCCAAATCAATTCAGGAAGAATCAATAGGAAAGTCCTGGCAGATATGCTTTCTGCCCAACAGTTAAGCTGTTACAACTTGCCTGTGGGAGTTAATGTAGAGGAAATCGTCCCTGGGCCTCTGGGAAGATGGCTCCCTGCCGAGGATGCTGCTGTGAAGTTAGACGCAGAGGTGGATGCAGAATCTTGAGGGAGCTTGGCCTGAGATCTTGCCAACCTCTCGTTTTTACAGCAGACTTGGAAACAGCCGCTCACCTCCTCCCAGTTTGAGCTGCCTCTGCTAAATTGCTAACTTTGCCAATGGGCTCCGTTTTTGCCATCCTTGGCCAGGAAGGTCTGGAGGGGCTGTTATTCATCTGGGTCTTGACTTTACGTCTGACTGGGAGAGTAGGATCCAAGCTCATTTGGGGGGAAACAGGACAGAATCCAGTTGGGATGGGGGAATTGGTTCCTAGTAAAGATTATTTTAAAGAGGTTAGAGTCGAAGAATTGAGAAACGTGATGGGACATCCAAAATGGGGAAGGATACAGAGCTACCAGAATGGATAGAGGGGTGTGTATGTGTGTGTGTGTGAAGAGTATTCTGCTTAACAAACATTATTTAAGCACCTACTCTTTTTTGGGCTAAGTGCAACCTGAGGTGGGAAGGAGTGACAGGATCTTAGAGCTGGAAGAGTTCAACTTGTGATTCAAAATATGGCTCCTATACTTGCAAAATCCATTCCCTTCTGGTTAAGGTCCTAGCAGGAGAGCATCTGGCTCCCCTTGATGGAGACTTTCTCTGCCCCTGTGGCAGTACCACCCCCGCCCCACCACTTTTGTTGCTAGTTCTTGTTATTAGTTGTCTTTTTCTTGGATTGAGCCAATGAATATGACTTCTCTGCAATTTCTGAATTGTCTTCGAGACCCGTCCATTTGTTCCTCCATGTGCCGGTTTTATGAATATTTGAAGATAGCTATTGGGTGCTTCTTTTTCGCATAAAATAGGAAGAGAAGACAAAGCCTCTTATAATCTCAAAGCCAATCCCTCCTTCCCCGTGATCCCACTGCTTGTAGTAAATGCCTCTCTTCCAGCCTTCGTCACACTGGGTCTGTCTAAGTATTTTCGCCTTCATAGTCAACTAATAGTTGCAGAGCAACTCCTTTCTGCTACATTGTAGCAAGAAATTTCATAAGATCTTCTCTTTAACCCTCATTCCAATTCTCTGACATCGGTAGAGTTACACCCTCTTTACAGATGAGAAAATTGAGGCTCAGAAAGAGGAAGTGGCTTCACTTCTCTGTCAGTTTCCTCATCTGTACAGTGTGGATGCTAATACTGCTCTCGTAAGGTGGTTGTGAGGAGTAAATAAGTGACATGTACCATTGTACCTAGTAGGTGTGTGATAAATGGGAGCTACTTTTCTGGTGACAATCCTTCCACAGTCAGCCCATCTCATTTTTGGCAATGACGATGATAATAATGATGATATTAATAACTTTTATCTAATGTACACTACATCCAAGACATGGTGCCAGGAGTTTCCCATGCGTTCTCTTGCCTAATCCCTTCAGTTGAGGAGATTGGTACCGTTGTTATCCTGGTTTTATAGAAGAGGAAAGTGGAGGCCAGAAACAAAGTTGCTTGCCCACAGTCATAATGGCCATAGAGAGAAGAGCTGGGATTGGAACAGTTTAGTTGGCTCCTGAGTTCCCACTTCCAACTGCTCCCTCCTCCACCACACCCTAATTGAGCTACACTCTGCTGCATCCCTTGCCATCTAAGTGCTGGGTACTGAGGGCCCCATTGGAATGCTGACTGGCGCAAGGAAAGAAGCTGGGGTATATCACAACCCTGTGGCCATGTCAAGACATGGTGAATTATGCGTGCAAATGAAGAGCCCCAAATGAGGTGGCGCTCAGGAAAGGGTCCTGTAGAAAGAGAACAGGTCTGGGAGGCCATGTGATTATCAGATGGGCAATGGAGGGAGGGCAAAAGGCTTTAACAGGAGAAGTAGATTTTGGATTATGGTGAAACCACAGAGTCAAGAAACTCCTCCAGGGGTGAGTGCAGCCTAGGAATTTCCGGAGTCGGCAATTGTGAACATTTGGGGTAATTAACTCAAATGATGACAGCCTTCCTTTTCTCCTCCATTCCTCCCCCCTCCCAGTGTTTCTCATCTGAATTCTCGCTCTTATAAACACAATCATCTATTCGAGTTGGCTCAGAGGTAAGAAAGCAATTCCAGGCACCCTAGGGGCTGGATGCCCAAGCTGAGATGTGGTCTCTGATGTGGTTCAGGCCTCTCTAACCTCCTCGCTGTCTCTGTCTTGCCTTTTTCTGCAGTGATCCGGGCCAAGGTGGTGGGGAAGAAGCTGGTGAAGGAGGGGCCCTTTGGCACACTGGTCTACACCATCAAGCAGATGAAGGTGAGTGACAGCAGCTCAGCTCCAGGAGGGTTCCTAGTTTTTTGCCAGAAGAGTCCTGGCCAAGGGAGGCAAGGTGGGTGTGCATTTGCTCAGTGTCTGAGTCCCAGACCCAGCCCTGCCCCGCTGCTGGAGAGGGCATTGCTGAGGCAGCAGAAAGGGATGGGCAGGGAGTGGGGGAATGATGACTCCTTCATCCCAGAGCCAGCGCAGGTTGAGTCCTGCAGAGGTCATTGTTAAGAGGCTGGGTTCTGGCGCCAGACAGCAGACAGTTTTGTTACCTGCTAACTATGAGACCTTGGCCAAGTCACTGCTTCTCTCTGGGCCTCAGTCTTCCCATCTGTAAAATGAGGAGGTTGGACTAGATTGTCTTATGGGTTCTTCCAAGTTCTGACTTTTTGAGTTTCAACGATGCCTACTGGTCTGTGCAGTCACGAGTTGACAGTTCAGGTTTAACCCCTTGAGTCTTTACATGAAACTTTTGCTGATCACAGGAGCCACACCCTAAGGTGGGACGCACCCTCTTTCCTGATTTTCCCAGCTGTAATGCTCTTCTTGCATCCCAGCTAGTTAGCACCGTTTACTAAGCCTGTTCATACAATCGAACAGATTCCTGAGCATACTAACATTAGGAAGCACATTAAGGAAGCATGCTTAAGAAAAAGAACATCAGATTTGAAACCTAGAAAACCTGCTTCCTGGTCTCAGCTGCACTCCCACGTGGCTCACTTACCTTGGAATCGTCCCTTTTCCTGTGCTTCAGTTTTGCCATCTGGTAACAGCATGGCGTTGGGCTTGTGCCCCTAACAGCCCTTCCCTCTCAGGCATTTCAGGATTCCAAGTGTCCCAGGACACTGACTGTGTTACTTCGAAGCAAGAGCTGCTGTGGGTGCTGGAAGGGGAAACTTACATTTGGCTCAGCACAGAGGACGGGGGCTTTACCCCGAATAGCTCAGCAGCTGGTCCATCACCCCAACTTTTGTAAGCACCTCCCTATGTGCCGTGCTCTCTACCAGGAGCTGTGGAGGCCACAAGGAAGATGCGCTTCCATGCTTAGGAAGGAGAGAAGAAACCTGTGCGAGAATCCTGAGACGCTCACGACAGGGTGTGCTCAGGTCCCGGGGAAGTGCAAGCCCCTTTACTCGCCGCTTATATCTGCATCCCCAGCAATTAGGGTGGGACCCGGCGTGCCACAGGGACTTGGCAAATGCGTGTCCATCTAATGAGGGAATGAGGGTGAGACCCCACTGGCCTGAAAACTCCCCAGAGGAGACCAGCCTTGGTGCTCAGATAGAATTGAGTGGGGGGAGTGACACAGCCCACGAGTGGTACCCAACCATCCCGGAGGCAGCTGTGCGGGCCTCACTGTTCCTGCGTCCTGAGGCCTGAGGTTAGCTGTACTAAATTTGTGGAACCTGTTGCTTTGGATTCAATTTTGGAAACATCCACAGCCTTCTGGTTATGTAATATCCAGAGTCAGCCCTGGCCAGCTGCCCTTGGCTGCCCAAGCTAGGTCATGGGACCAGCTTATGTCTTCAGACGGCCATGGGGAGAGAAGGGTGGGTGGAGGGGGGAACCAACAAGATCAACAACAACCCAGAAAACCCACTGTGCAACCCCTGGCAGCTGGCAAGCGGATGCCAAAGCACATTAGACAAAAGCAGAGGTTCAGGAAACACATTCCCCGCCTGCTCTGGAACAATCCCTCATATTATGAGATACTCTGTGGCCAGCAGAGAGCTGCCAGGGGAAGAGCTGGGAGGCAGTGGCTCCTAAGCTTGCCTTGCTTCCCTGCTTCCTTCAGGACCAGGGTGACCAGAGGCCCTTCCTGTGGGCAGAATGTCCCATTCCCTGCTCACTGGTGTCAGACCAGCCACTGGGGGGTGTTTAGAGGCCAAATGACATTTATTCACCCATCAGCTTCAGAGTGTGCACACCCACTCCCAGGCCAGGGGTCTCATGCTGTCCATTCACCATCCTTCACCCGGGGTCATGGAATCAGGATGCCGGGCATTAGGAAGGAAAATCCCTTGTTTTACATCTGACAGAGGCTCAAAGGGGAAATGACTTGCCAGAGCCATGCTTTTAATTCAAGGCAGATCTGGTTCCCAAGCTGAGGTGTCGGGATTCCTTCTCAATCCTCTATGTTCTTTACATGACTCCCCAAATCTCCCTGCCATCTTACTTTGATCATCAATTACTACCTAATGCCTTTTATTAATTCTGCCCCTCCTACCAGCCCAATATTAGATAACCCATAGAACTGGTCACTGTCCTTCCATCTCAAGAGGCCAGTGGATTCTGCTGGTCTCTGGGTACCGGTCTGCTAATCAGAGTGGGAGTAGACCATCTGACCCCCCACCCCACCCACCCCCTGTGCTTAGCACTGTGCTTTGAGCTATGGATACAAAGATAAAATTTGTTATAATGAATGTAAGACTCCATACGAGTAATGTTTATTGAGCATTTCCTGTGCGCCAGGCATTCTGCTCAGCCTTTGCACCGACAGGTCCTCACAACACCCTATGAAATGGATACACATTATCCTCTATTTATAGGTAAGGCAGTTGAGCCTGGGAAAGGTTCTATAACAGTCCAGCTCATGGGGCTAGAAAGTGGCAAAGCGGAGTGAAGCTAGAGAGCCTTTGCCAGCAAAGAGATGACACAGCAGTAGTGCTGATTCAGCATTCCTGCCCACTTTGGGGGCTCCCCCCACCCCGTTTGTATCTAGTTCCCTTGGGGAACAAAAAGAGGTTAGCTTGAGTTTGTAGGTTTGTCATCCAGCAGTGTATCTCTTGACTTGCAGCATCCTGCAAAGGGTGTATTGAAAACTCTTTGTAGGAGGGAAGGGGGAGAGGCCAGAGAGGAGAGCCTGCAGGAGTTTTGGCAATGATCCCTCAGCGGCTTTGTTCTAGCAGATTAGAGAGTCTACCCAGAGAGGCAGACGGGTTAAGCAAGGGCTCCCTTCGAGCAGGACGAAAGGAACTCAGAGAACGTGAGAATTCGAGCCGCCCTGTCTGACCTCTCTCTTCTCTCTCAGAGTCCACCCCTGCCCCCCGAACTTCTCACCCAGATGAAAGGTGGGCAGATGCTCTTCCATATGCTAATTCCAGAACCTCTGGTCCACCTCTCGGGCATATTTTGAGTGTGCAGAGACCCACAGGTGTGTAGTGGAGTGGAGGGGGGGGGTGTATTTGAATGTTGAGGGAGCTTACTGCAAAGCCAAACTTGGAGATTAGCTGGAGCTGAAGTGCTGGGCTATGGTGCATAGGTGGAAGTTTCCAGAATTGGCACTCTAATCTATTGAGACCTTATCTCCTATCAGGACCATGAGAAAGCAGTCTGCTTTCCAGGAGCTGTAGTTTGTGCAGTGGAGACATTCTTTCAGGCTGGCTGCAGGGGACAGCACGTGGGGAACATTATGTCCCAGCTAGTCCTAGGAGGGTCCCATGGGGAGGTCCGCTGGTCATGTGCTTTGCATGTCCTGACTCTGAGCAGGACAGATCTGCTGGGCAATCAGAATACTTGGCCCCCAGGAACTTCCTTCAGTGGTTTGTCTAATCAAATGAGCAATAGCAGGGTCTCGCCTTGAAGCTCCAGCTGGAAAGCTTTGTGACTTCCCAGCCCACAGAGAACTATTGAGCTAACTAATGGAACCTCCCATTGCCTGTAACTCTTTATGGTCTAGGTCTCTCCTCTAGCCCTCTGCAGAGACTGCCTCATTCCCACAGGCTCTGCTCCCCCACTAGACAGCCCGTTCTGTGAAAGAAAGACCATACACTTGGTATCTCGGTCAAGTCGCCAAAACTCGGTTGCTTGGTCTGTAAATGAGAATAAGTTGTGGGTTTAAATGAGTTCGCGCTATAAAGCAGCATGCAGCAAGGTGCTGGTCTTCAGCAGGCATGCCAGAGATATTTGACATAATGGTGACATTTCAGGGCAGCAGTGTAGAGTGAAGACCAGATATTCCCTAAGAAATATGCAAATCCCCCAGACTCAGAAACTTCTTTCTCACATCATGTGTCCCATCACCCTATAGGAAGCTAACTTCTTAGAACTTTGTGTAGATACTACCAAGAAGCGAGGCCCAGAGGCTTGTAGACTCCAATGTGAGATAGATACACGTGCGTGTATGTGCGTGCGTGTGCATGCGTGCACACACACACACACACACAGAATGGAATATTACTCAGCCTTGAAAAAGAAGAAAATCTTGTCATTTGTGACGATGTGGATGAACCTGGAGGATAGTATGCTAAGTGAAATAAGCCACACACAGAAAGACAAATACTGTATGATCTCACTTATATGTGAAATCTAAAAAAGCCAAACTCTTAGAAGCAGAGAGTAGAACAGTGGTTCCCAGGGGCTGGGAGGTGGGGGAAATGAGGAAGTGTTGGCCAAAGGGTACAGAGTCACAGTTCTGCAGGGTGAATAAGTTCTGGAGATCTAATGCACAGCATAGTGACTCTAGTTAACAATACTGTATACCAGGAATTTGCAAAGAGAGTAGATGTTAGGTGTTCTCACACATGAAAAGGTAACTATGTGAGGTGATGGATATGTTAACTAGCTTGATACTGGTAATCGCTTCACAGTGTATACATATATCAAAACATCATATTGTGTACCTTAAAGAGATACACTTTTTATCGGTCAATCATACCTCAATAAAGCTGGAGGAAAAAAGAAAAGAACAACCTGCCTATGTCTGAAGTTCCGAACCAGCTTTAACTCCTTGCACTAAGAGGTGAGGTCGGGCAAGACACATAGGAAGAAGACTAGATCCTTTCCTCTGCTCATTACGAATTTTACTGTGACTCGTTTTAAGCTAACTTTTACTAAATGTTTTGTGCCAAGTGCTAGTCTATGTCATTTAATTCTCAAAAACTCCTTAGGAAGTAAGTACTTTGCCCCATTTTACAGATGAAGAAACCAAGGCCCAAAGAGGTTAAGTAACTTTGCAAGTGGCTAATAAGTGGCAGAGACAAGACTGAGACTCTGGCTGTCAGTCTCCAGAACGTGGGTTTACCGCTAATCCTCCATCACATTGGCTGGATTAGATTATCTTTAACACCCTTTCCAATTCTGAGATTCTAGGATTCTCTGGTTTCAGGACATTATAAACCCATTATAACCTTCCTAAACTTCTCAAGCCAGTTCTGGGTCTCTGTGATGACAGACCTAATGATACTTTTAGGATCCATATTTAGGTCAAGATAGAATTATTATAAAGAAAAGACAACTGAGTGAGGAAAAAACTGCCTTTACCATACATTTCTCATATTATTTTCAGAATTGACCCTAAAAGGCAGCGCTGTGTTTGTCAGACCCAGTTATCTGTCATTTATTAAAATCTTCTTCATGCAAGTGCCAGAAGCCATGTTAAAACAAGGGTTCCTTCGAACTCAGAAGTAGCAGTGACGTGAAGCTGGCTGCGGCCAGTTGAGTTCATAGTGAGCAGCTGAAGTCACCGGCCTCTAAGCAGAGGTTTGATTTCTCACCCATAAAGCAGAGAGGAGATAAAGGGGAAAGACTGATCTGGAATGAACTGAGATTCCAGTAGGCTGGGCCCCAAACACCTGGAGCAAACAAGAACTGAGTTGAACCATTTGCCCAAAACTCAAGGAACATCCACACCCACATGAGAAGTCACCGGGCACAGGAGTGAGCGCAGGGGCTGCTGTTGGAAGGCTACTCGTGATGGCATGCACACAGCAGCACTCTTACGCATGGTTCCTCTTAAAGCCAGAGAGACACCATCCATCACCGAGGAAGTGGGGGGTACGATTTGACACACCCCTGCTCCCCTGCGGCATAACCAAACACCAAGTGTAGACAGCACTTCTTGCTCTTGGCTGCGTTTCCTCCTTCAGCTGGCGATCCCGCGGGAGAAGAGGGTGAGGAAGGGAGGCCGGGTAAATGAGAACCATCTGTACTGATGGTTGCACACAATTAGAGCAGCGCGCCCCTTACACAAGGCAGAGGCGCCCCAACTCTGTAGGTCCAACACACCTTCTTTGATGGCAGAGGTCCTCATGGACCACCTACCCCCGGCCAGCCAGTCGCCACTTAAAAGAAGATGAGGAGGAAAAAACAGCCCATTAGACCGAATGGAGGCACTTAAATGAGACACCAATGAGGTGATGTCTGGCTTTTTATTAATTACCATAAGTAAATTAATAACGCATGCCAGGACCTAAAGGAGAGACATTGTCCCATTGTAAACCCTTGGGATAAGCCCAGAGACCACCAGCTGTCCAGGGCCCATGTGCTCTGAGCACTGGGGGACAATGGGATTGGGCAACACCTCGGTAACCCCTGCCACCCCTACCAGCTCACACCGTAGCAGAGTTGTCTCGACAGACCCTCGGAGACTTGAGCTGGAACCAACAAGTGGGTTCAGCTTCTGTTATGTTCACATCAGTGGCTCTGAGCACGTGCTGATAAAGGAGGCACAAGAGCCATAAATGGCATTTGCCTGTGTCAGACGCCCTTGGGCATGAATTTGAGAGGGTGCACGGGGAGCCAGCATGGGATAATGGTTAAGGGCCTAGACTCTGGAGCGTATTCTCCTGCCTGGAATCCCAGTTCTGCCATTTGCCAACCGTCTGGCCTTAGGCAAGCCACTTAACCTGCCTGAAGCTCAGGCTCCTCGTCTAGAAAATGGGCACAATAGGCCCCTGTCTCCCAGGGCTGTCATGGGGACTAAATGGGTTAATATGAGCGCAGGATTTCTCAACCTTGGTAGCACTGACATTTGGGGCCTGATAACTGGTTGCTGTGGGGGCCGTCCTGTGCATCATCGGCTATTTAGCAGCATCCCTGACCTCTACCCACAGATGGCAGGAGCAACTGCCCCACCTCTGAATTGTGACAACCAAAAATGTCTCCAGACATTGCCAAATGTCTCCTGAGGTGGGAGTAAAATTGCTTCCACTTGAGAATCACCATACTAGATTATGTTGTAGATAAAAATGGCCAAATAGCAATTTCCTACAGTTCAACCCAATAATTATAAAGTGTTTAGTTGAAAACCTATGAATTTTATATACATGTTTATATACCCCTTTATCGGGGTAAAGGAACCCAGTGCTTTCATCAGATGCTCAGAAGAATAAAATCTTGGAGCGTCCCGGGCCTGAGCTCAACTTTTGCCAGCCAAACAGAATTTCTCCCAGAGTCCGCGTCTATAAAGTGGCCATAATAATAGCTCCCTCCTAGGGTTCTTGTCAGGATACGGTGAGGCGGATGTAAATGAGAAAGCTTTCATACCCTGGAAAATGGCCCAGGGATGTCACGAGAATGCTGGCTGCGTGTCTTCTCGGAGCTCAGGTCTGGAGGTTGACAAGGCAGGCAGGACCCCCTTCACAGCAAATTCTCTGGATTTCTGAAAAGGTGTTGGGATTTGAGAAAACTATGTGCCTGGAGGAGCGTTGTGGAGGTGTTGGAAGGGGAGGTGTGACTGGCTGGATGAGAAGGTACCAACCCTGGCTCAGACGAGAGGAGAACAGGACATCTGGAGTGAAGGTCCTGGGGTGGGCAGGTCGGTGACCATCCAGGAACGATGGCTGATGAGGGCAATCTGATGCCCACAGACCAAATGACAGCGTGCTTTCTGAGCCCTGCTCCTCCTCTCATGACATTCCTTCTGCCCACAGATGTACCGAGGCTTCACCAAGATGCCCCATGTGCAGTACATCCACACGGAAGCTTCCGAAAGTCTCTGTGGCCTTAAGCTGGAGGTCAACAAGTACCAGTACCTGCTGACAGGTAACAGCCAACTGTAGCATCTAGGCCAGGGTTTGGCCAAGGTCCACCATTCCTTCACTTCAGAAGGGTGGGAAGGAGTAGTTGACCCAGAAGTGTCCTTAGGAGCTTTGCCACATGCCCAGTGGATTATACGGAGTAGCCAGTGTTGAGTCTATCTTGCTCGGCCAGCGGTGGGAGCTTGAGGCCCTCCATGGAGACTGGGTTTCAGTCTCGGCTCCACCACGAACGCCATGGAGGACATCTAGTTTTGCCATTTCTCAGCTTTGCTATAAATAAAAAGTGATTGCCTGTACCTGGTCCTCTCCACCTCTCGGTCAACCTATCAGGTCTATCTTTGAAAGTTACGCACCTTCAGGCAGTCAGCGTAGGAAAGGAGAAAACAAAACTGAAACCAAAGAACTATTGACGAAGGAAGTGAAGCACTGGCCTTAGTCTCAGCTCCAGCGTGTCATGGGCTTGAGACCTTCTGCAAATCGCTTCACCTCCCTGAGCTTCATTTTCCTCATCTGGAAAATGGGGATGCAGTTCGCCTTAAAAGTTGTTGGGGAGGATGAACTAAAAGCCCAGGACTGAAAGGTACTTAGCATCGTCCCTGGGCTAAGGTGGTACTCAGTCGGTGAGAATTCTTTCCCTTCTGGCTGGACTTGGGACAGAACCACTTTCCCCTTGTCATCCTCTTTCCTCCTCTAGGCCGTGTCTACGACGGAAAGATGTACACAGGACTCTGCAACTTCGTGGAGAGGTGGGACCAGCTCACCCTCTCCCAGCGCAAGGGGCTGAACTATCGGTATCACCTGGGTTGTAACTGCAAGGTAAGCCCCGGGGAGGGCCGGCAGGGGAGGTGCTGGCTCGCAGCCCCAGAACGTCAGCTCGTGCTCTGCTGGGCGCTGGGCGCTTGTGCTGGGAGGGGCACGCGTGGCTGGCCAAGGCAGAGGGTCAGGTCGGAGCAGGGGCACTAAGGAATGTTGCCCCCAGGCTGAGCAGTGAAGAAAGGAGGCAGGGGAGAGTGCCTTTTTGCTGTCATCTGCCACCTCCGTGCTGCCCACTTGGCAGCTGCTGGGATGTGAGGGCCCTTCAGCATCCCCGGCCCCTCCCGCGGTGCAAGGTTATGGCAGGTACGGGATCTTCACACTGGCAGGTGCTGCGAAGCAGTCCCAACTGGGTTCACTCGGGCAGCTGACTCATTGGCGGTTGGGGCCGGCTGGCACAGGACTGCTGATACCACATGTGCAGAAGGTCACTCTTCAGCCAGGCCCAACTCCTTGACCCAAGCCCTGGGCCGAGACACACAGCCTTCCTGCTGTGGGAGGGAGGTGGGCCATTCTCTCACTGAATTCTCACAACTCGGTGCAGTTTTAATTATGACTATCCCCATTTTGCAGGTGAGGAAATAAAGGCTCAGAGAGCTTCAGTAACTAGCCCTAGGTCACACAGCTCACGAAGTCTGATTTCCAGCCTAGGGCAGCTGGACTCCAAAGTTTATGCTTTAATCTTTCCTATTCCTCAATTCCCTACCACAGCTGAGAGTTTCATCCTTTCCTGTTAGCATTTGAGAGGAAAAAAGCTCACTCAAATGTCTAATTCTACCACTTTCTGACTGTGTGACCTGGAGCAAGCTACTTAACTTCTCTGAGCCTCTATTTTCTTGTCCATAAAAGGGAGATAAATCTGCTATGAGAGTTATGGAGAATAACATAGAGGCACTTAGCAGAATGTCTGGTACACAGAAGTTGCTCAGTAAGTGTTAGTGAATGTTATTTATATTATTTTCACTAAGGGACTGGTGTGGCTGGGCTCCACCTGAGTGGTCCCAGGTTCTGAGACGGGGTCTGGAGGTCTGGAGACTGGGGCAAGCCTCAGGTCTGGGTCGGCCATGGCGAGCATCACGGCCCGAGTCCACCAACCCTTGGTGGTTATCTCATTGCAGATCAAATCCTGCTACTACCTGCCTTGCTACGTGACCTCCAAGAACGAGTGTCTCTGGACCGACATGCTCTCCAATTTCGGCTACCCTGGCTACCAGTCCAAACACTACGCCTGCATCCGGCAGAAGGGTGGCTACTGCAGCTGGTACCGAGGCTGGGCCCCCCCGGACAAGAGCATCATCAATGCCACAGACCCCTGAGCACCAGCCCCAGCCCCACCTCACCTCCCTCCCTCCCCACTGAGCTTCCCTCGGACACTAACTCTTCCCAGATGATGACAATGAAATTAGTGCCTGTTTTCTCGCAAATTTAGTACTTCGAACACTTAAAGAAAAGTCTATGCTGTCATATGGAGTTTCTTTGGAACCATCCTCCTGGCCCCACCCTACTCCTTCTCTTTGGTTTTGACATCACCTATTTCCACCCGGGAATTTTTGGTGCCATGCCAAAAAGAATGAGGAATGTACACGCCTCTTCTTCGTGAGAATATAATCTATATTTTTTTAGGAAAACAAAAATCAAGAAACTACCCCATTTGGGCATTGTAATACCTACTGCTTTTCCTTCTTCCCCAACTCCCCATCTCGCAGACCCTCCTGCTTTTGCCATTCTTCTCCACCACATAAAGGACACAGACCAGGAAGTTGCTGAAAGGCCAGCTGTTTCAGGATCAGTCAAGGGCAGCGAGCAGATAGACTCAAGGTACGCAGAAGATCTTACACCGAGGAGATGCTACTGCATGTCCCGACCAGACTGTGTCTGTGTCTGCGTGTACCATTGAGGGACGGAAGGAGGAAACTGGGGAGGGTCTGAGATGATGCAGCAAACACACACTCAATTCCCCCAGCCCAGTGATGCTTGGGTTGACCAGATGGGTCTGGAGCAAGCGGCCAGGCCAGAAGAACAGAACTTTCTTAGTTGAAGACTTAAACATCTGCCTGAGGTCAGGAGGCCGTTTGCCTTCCTTGTACAAAAGCTCAGGTGAAAGACTGAGATGAATGTCTTTCCTCTCCCCACCTCCCACAAGATTTCCTCCTGGAAAACTTTTCAGGAGATTTGGCCAGGAGCTTGCCTTTATGTAAATTGGAGAAATACACACACCGCACACTATCCACAGATATAGCCAAGTAGTTTTGGGGTAGAGAATACTATTTCCAAAGTAGTGTTTAGTTCACCTAGGGGGATGTGTTTGTATACACATGTGCATATACCCACACGGGGACATAAGCTAATTTTTTACAGGACACAGAATTCTGTTCAATGCTGTTAAATACGCCAATAGTTTAATCTCTTCTATTTTGTTGTCGTTGCTTGTTTGAAGAAAATCATGACATTCCAAGTTGATTTTTTTTTCATTTTAATTAAAATTTGAAATTCTGAACACCCTTGGCATCCTTCTAACTGGGGTCGTCTGACCTCTACCCCTCTCCTTTTCTCGTGCTTCATGTTTGGGGCCTTCTTTGAACTGCCTTACTGGCTTGGCTCAGATGGGAGATGAGAGTTAGTGTGGGTCAGGGGTCTGGGCACAGGAGGGAAAGCGGAGGGATATCCTGCCTTGGCTAGACAGCTACCTTTCCTGGGTTTGGGGACAGCTTGCTCCCCTTCCCTCAGCTCACTAGGGGGTAAATGCCACCTCCTGAGGTCCTCACCTTATGGAATTAAAATTCGCGGTCACTGGGGAAGCCTGACTTTGCAATCAGCTATAGGGTTTTTGTTGTGTTTTTTGAAATAAAATTATAATATAAATTGTCCAATGAAATAAAATTATTTTAAGTTTTAGTGTTGAAAGTGAGATGCCGAGAGTAGGTGACAATGGATATTTTACAGAGTTGGGACGGTAGGATGGTGACATTTAACATGATTGCTCTTGTCTCTGTCTCCTTTTTTTAGATTATGGGTATTTATCCTCTATTAGTATTTGTATCTTCAGTTCATTCCACTTTAGGAAACGGAGCTGCCAATTGAAACAGGAGAAAAAAAAAAAAGACGCAGACAACACATTGTGATGTCTGGCACACACACACAAATGCCCAGGCAAGGTGTTTGGCAGAACCCCAGAGCGGGAAGAGAGTGCAGGCATCCGGTTTCCTTGGGATCGATTTCATTACATTGTACCTTTCACATTGTGGTCATGCCATTTGGCAGACAAGAAATGGGAGGCTTTGCCCTCTCAGTGGGGCAATGTGAGCAGAAGGAGCTGAGGTCAGAGGGCCAGTGGTTTTAAGGGGTGAGCCCCAGACTTGGTGTTTTAAGACTTTTTTCATTTCGACTTCAAAATCTTGCAAGGTGGAACCACTGACCCAACCCGCATAGGTGCTCTTCCACAATCAGACATCAGCGTGTCCTCTATGAGGCATCCGGCCATTCTTGGTCCCTGGGGGGGTCCCCTCCACTCACACAAGGAGGGACTTGGGGTCAGGCCCGAGCATGAGTCACCTGAAGTTTCCCTGCGGAGTAGAAAAGTTGGCAAAACCATAGTCCCATCTGCCAGGCCCTGATGAGGAGAACGGCAGGTCCTGGGCAAAGAAGGGTCCTTTGCAAAGCGACATTGTCGGAGGGCGGTTTTTGAGCTTTCTGTAAGCTATAGCTTTGTTTATTTCACCTGTTCACTTACTGTATAATTTAAAATCATTTATGTAGCTGAGACACTTCCGTATTTCAATCATATTGCGAGCGTTTTATTTTGCTAAATCTTGTGTCATGTGTAGGCTGTAATATGTGTACATTGTGTTTAAGAGAAAAACAAAAATAAAACCCACATGCCGCCATTTTCCTGAATCAAATTCTATAGTGGAATGGAGGGTGAAACACTTCTGTGCAGGCAGCTAGACTGGCCAACTGGGGAAACCAGGAAGAGCTAGCGCTGGAGATTCCCCCAGCCTCCTCCTGTTGGCATCCCAGGGCTTTCTGGAGTAGGAAGGAGGAGGGAAAAAATAGCAAGCACGTTCACATCCTTGCTCTGTATCAACTGGCCCTGGGCAGACTGCTGGTCATTCCCATTCTTTTTCCCCCTAGTCCCTTTGTCCACCCAATTGGGAAGCCATGATATTTCCTAAAAATCCAGGGCCATGGGGGCTATGATTTCAAGATCTCTTGGCCTCTCCTGGCCATCTCTTTTGCCTCCCTATCCAGAGAGTGCCACACCCAGGCTCTTGCCTCTCAGACCAGTGCTGCATCTGGCCAGGGTAGGAAACGCTAGGAAACTCGGGTCCTTTACCCTCATCCAGACCCAGACCTACCACATGGTGGTCCAGCCATAGCCCACGAGCACCATATTTCATGCTGTGGTTCTTGAACAATTAAAGAAGCAAATGACTTATTGGAACAGCTCTGTCTTGGGGATACTGTGGCCCCCAGGAGACAGCACCCTCCCCTGCCCCAGCCATTCATCTTGTGCTTGACGATCACCAATATGGATTACCCCAAGATGACACCCAAGTGTTTGGCTCCTGGCTACCTAAAGTAAAAAATCACTAAAATAATTTTACAAAAGAAAAACACTTTGGAAATCTGACAGCAAAAGCAAAACAGAATGGGGGAGGAAGTAGGAAGGGGAGTGTGGATATCAACACGTGAGAGGTGCTTGGGAAATGTGCAGAGAGGAAGAACTTAGAGATGGTTCAGGCTCTGAGGGGAGGAGCTTTGTAGATCCTCCTGTGCCCCCTACTTCCCCATTAGCCAGTCTGCTATCCTGAGACCCAGAAGTGATGGAGAGAAACCAACCAGAGAAAACCCTGTCTGGAAGGAATGTATTTGTTGCTAAATTTTGTAGCACTGTTTACAGTTTTCCTCCATGTTATTTATGAATTTTATATTCCGTGAATGTATATTGTCTTGTAATGTTGCATAATGTTCACTTTTTATAGTGTGTCCTTTATTCTAAACAGTAAAGTGGTTTTATTTCTATCACACACCTGCAGTCTCTCACCTTCTTGTGTCCTGACCGTCGTTGCGGGTTCTATAGACAGCAGAGGACCTTGGAAGCCGGTCCTGTCTGCCTGGCTGCAGGCCATGCACACTCCCCTCCCTCCACTGACTTCTATGGTGTGGGCCCACCCTGCCCCAGGCCTTTCCCCAGGCAGGAGGAATTTCAGGAGGCATCTTTCTGGCTGCTAATCCAGCCTTGACCTGGCTCCCTGGGTTCAGGCCAGGGTTCTCCCCAGTTCTACAGAATCTGGATCTCTAATTTACCTTATTAGTGGTACAGGTATTCCCAGACTGGGGCCCTGGCTTAGCCTCCCTTGTTTTCTTCCTAAGAATTTCAGCCTGGTGGAAGTGGGAGGGGAAGGCTGCAAACAGCAGTCCTTGATGCCAAATGCCTGCCTGAAATTCCCAGTGTGGCTCGGCCGAGTTGGGTATGCCAGGAACTCATGAGGCCCCACTACAGCCGGAGAGCCCCCCGCCCCCCCCCCCCCCCCCAGTGCTTACAGCTGGGCCTATCACCCTCAATGGGCTGCGCTGGTTGATGGCACACCCCTCACCCAACTTTCATCCCATCGTTGACAATGTTCCAGGTTCCAGCTTTGCCCTTATTTTACAGGTATTCTACGTTGAGCGTCTACTCTGTGTCGGGCACAGGGCTCTTTATACACGTGATTACATTAAATCTCAACAGCCTGATGAGGTTTTGCCACTCCCATGCATGGTTTTCAGCTGAGGAAGCTGAGGTGCACAGAGCTTAATTTCACTGCCCGAGACCTAGGAAGTAGGCAGACGTGGGATTCAAACCCAGGCTGGTTTGATGATAGACCTCAAATTTCCTCCACTGTGTTGACACTTTATTGGAATAGGCTGGGTTCCCCATGCCCTTCTTATTCCACCCAGCACAGCCTGGATCCCGTGACTCTCAATGGGTCAGACAATAGGGAAGGATAATCCATGGGCAACCTCTCTGCCTGGTCAGCCTGCTCCCACCTGCAGCCTGCAGCCCTACCCATCAGTGACTCCAAAGAGAACTGTCCGGTTCTGCTGCCTGAGCTTGGGATTCCACACACAGACCTCACTCCCCAGCTGGGACTATCAGAAACCCTGTTAACTGTCCTGTTCCCCAAAACTCACATTCCTCCCAAGGCAACTTTGGGACCACAGCCTTGAACTCCTTTGACCAGTTTGAGAAGACCACCAACCATGTAAACAGGCACGTCATGGGCTATATCCAGCTGCCCGGAACTCCTCCGCCCATCTCCTTCCGGCTGCAGGATGGAGAGCTCTCCACCCCATTCAAAAAGACGTTAACCTCTCCCACCCAGCTATCCTCCAAATGGGAGGCTATTCCACGTACCAAGCTAAGCTCCAACTACCTCCCAGAGACGTCCTCAGGTATATTCAAACGTCAGAATGTAAAGAGGACATGAAAGAAAACTGTCCTCCAACAATCAATGCAAATCAAATATTACTGCTTTTATTAAAATACGAGTTGAAACCAGGTCCCACAGAGGGCTGAAGGGAAATAACATCCCACATTGAAAATCTTTTATCTTTATATCAACCTTTGGCTCCAACATGCCAGCTCAAGTTGTCCCCTGATTTGCAGAAAATTCCCGATGTCCCAAGGAATGCCGTCCACCTTTGTCACTTGCCCTGCTGCCTGAAATTTCACCCAGAGAGATCCCTCTTTCCTTGGGAAAGCCAGGCATTCCCAGAGGACGTCACAGCTCTTCCTCAGAGCCAGGTGGTCAGGGAGCAGCCCCTGAGCCCAGCTCCTCTGTCCAGAAGGACCGAGATGTGAACATCTGTGTTTGTTCCGTATCACAAAAATAAGCAGAGTAAAAACAGGCACTCACCATCGGCTTATGGTTGGGGAAGAACGTTTGCTCTACAAGTGGGAACTTCTCAGGACCCAGGGAGTGGAAGATCTTAATGAGCTGAGAGAACTGGGACAGAAGAGGAGAGAACATTGGTCAACTGTTGCTACCTGGCATGGCGAAACTGCCCATGTGATGCCTTAGGCATCTGACTGCTCAGAGCTAAGCTCCAGTGGGTCTTCCCAGCCTATGGGATAAAAGCCAGAGTCCTTGGCTGGACATTCATCCCCTCCATCATCTGGCTGCATCAAGCCCTTCCTTCCTGCCAGACCACTGAGTTCAGCTCAATCACATTTAACGAGCATTGACTAAACCCTCGGCATCTCACACAAGCATTGCTGACATTCACACCACGGCCCCAGCCTTCAATGCCCTTCTTTCTCGAGAGGCACAGTGTGTAGTAGTTTATGGTGTAGGCTCTGGGTTCAAATTCTCCGCCACTTACTAGCTGTGCAACCTGGGAAGTCACTTTAGGTTTCTGAGCTTCAGTTTCCTTATTTGTAAATGGGGAAAACAGGACTGTTGTAAGGATTAAACATACTGGGTATTAAAAGCAGTGCCTGGTCCATAGAAGTACTCAAATGTTAGCACTCAAATGTTAATAATAAAGATTTTCACTGCTTTTGCGCCCCTCTTGTTTCCAACAGCTCAAGCTGCATCCCTTCTACGCTGTGCTGCTCCTGCTTTGGCACTTCCTTGTTTTGCCATGGAAGGAGCTACTGTCCCCAGAGCTGGGGGTAAGCTCCCAAAAGGCAGGCCTTGGACTCATTCTTCTCCACCACCTGACACCACTCAGCATCCTTGGGAGCTCACTTTGTGCATGACATTGCACTTTAATATTGGGGCACCAAGCTGAACATGGCAGACCAGGCCTTGAGAGAAGACAGACTGTGGGCAGATGGTGGGGATACCAATGTCTTGCTGGAGGGAAGCAAGGGAGGTTGTGGGACCTGGGAGAGGGACAGAGGGGGCATCAGGATGACTACTTGGAGCAGATGACATAAGAGAAGGAGGAAGGGCATTCCAGTGCGCAGTGAGACTAGCGTGTGCTGAACACACTCGGGAGCAGTTGCCATGGTTGTGGCCTTGGGTATGGAGGATGGTGACAGAGGAGGCTGGAAGATGATCCATCACAGAACACCAGGAGCCTTAAAGGCTGGACCAAGGAGCTGGGAATTCACCCAGAAGGTGAAGGGGAGCAAGCAGGGAAGAGCAAGGTAGATTCTGATCGGAAAGAAGGAATAAACTGCAACTTGTGACCTCATGTGGATGCCCAATGGCTAGAGGAGGAGCCAAGTCTTGTGCCAGACAGGCTTGGGGTAACTCAACACTACGAGCTCAGACAGCGAGAATGGGGTAACTTAGGAAGGTTCTGCATCAGACCAGTATTGGTCTGCAAACTCTTGGGCTGTGGCATGCAGCTGTGGTGCAACATGGAGTCAACTTAGAGGGTTAGCAAGACCTCAGAAATATGGGAAATGATGGGGAAGGGGTCCCTCACTTTGCAGATAAGGAAACGGAAGTGCAGAGAAGGAGAGGAATTCCCTGATCAAGCACCCGAGTTTGGGAGATGCCCAGCTCCACCACTTACTATCAGCTACACGCGTCTCAATTTCCTTATCTGTACAATGGAGATATTACAAGTACCTACTCGTCAGGGTGGTTCTGAGGATTAAACACAATATGCGTGTTAAGGGCTCAGCGCAGAGCACAGTTAGTGCTAATGGATGATAGCTGCCACCATCGTGATGACGATGTGGAAAATGAGGAGGGTGGGCTCATGCTATCTAGGACCCTTTTTGAACAGTGGCACTTGAATCTGGGATGTCACAGGCCAAAAACCTCAGTTAGGGCAGGATGAGAAGGAGACCAGAGCTATGGTAATAGTGGTTAAAGACCATCCCTATCTATTAAAGTAATGCACAAATTGATTCAATAAATACTGAATGCCAACTCTGCAGAGACCTTGTTCCAAGCACTAGGGACAACAATAATTGTCACCATTTACTGAGTGTGTATTTGATGCCACCCACTGTTCTAAGCACTTTACATGTATCAACTCATAACCCTCCCAGGAAGGCCCTATTATTATGGTCATTTTACAAATATGGAAAATCAACTCAGAGAGGTTAAACAAGTTTCTCAAGGCTACACAGCTCATACATGGAGAAAACTGGACCTAGGCAGTCTGGGTCCAGAGCCCATGTTCTCATGCACTGCCCTCCCACCAGGAGACCACACAGAGAGACAGCTAAAGAAGAGACAAGCTGGCTAAGAGCTTAGAGTACACTTCCATCCATCAACCTCCACGTTTCCTGTTCCCCTTCTCTGCTTTATTTTCCCCTTGGCAGTTACCATATGTCATATTACATATTGGGCATATTTATTAATGTACTAGGGTGCCCCTGCTCCCTAGAATGTAAGATCCAAGGGTGGGAATTTTGGTCTGATCCGCTCACTGCCATGTTCCTAGGACTTAGAACAGTGCCTGGGACATTGTAGGTGCTCAATAAATATTAGTTTCATGAATGAATTCCTTCTAGTAGCGGAGCCAGATAATGTACAAATGAATGGATAAACAGATCATTCCAGGTAGAGATAAGTCTTTGGGGGAAAATAAAGCAAGGTAAGAGATTTGAGAGTATTGGGGAATAAAGGGGTGGCATTTTAGGAAAAGCCTCTCTTACAGGTAACATTTGAGCGGAAACAACAAAATCAAGTGAATGAATGAGACTAATGAATAAAAGGCGGGGGAATCAAGTCTTGGGGGTTGGAGAGCGATGGCTTCAAGTTCTGGTTTCACCTCTCACCGGCCAAATGACCCTGGACAGGCCCCTTAACTGCTCTGAAGCTGAGCTTCCTTCTCTGTAAAGTGGAGCGATGATGCCCATTCACATGAGAGTGATGGCAGGAGCACTGGGAGGCACGGATTTCTGGTATATAGTAAGTGCTCAGTAAATGAAGTCTGCTGTTAACATGATGATCTGATAGAATATTGCTAAGAAGAATATGGTACCCTTCTTACCACTAATATTATGATAACATAACACTGTATCATAATATATTATTATATAATATTTGTTAGGTGAGAATTATAAGAAGGGGTCTGGGGTCCGAGCGGCTGATTCAATTGCTCCTTTCATTACTGAGGCCTCCATGCTGGGGAATGGGCCCATTTCAGGGCTGGGTGGCCACCCGCTGCTCCCACTTTGCTCCAGGTCAGCCTGGCCCGTCACCTACCACCCAGGGCTTGCTGCAGAAGTTGTACACGGAGTAGAGAGAGTTGACAGCGGGCAGCCCTCCATACTGGAGGCCGATGACCAGGCTGCGGTAGTCTTCACCCAGGGCCATGCTGTAGGCGTGCTGGCGGACCAGGATGAAGTCTGGCTTGAAGGATCTGCCAAGAGAGGGGCCGACAGCAGCGTTACCACACCGTACATTGATGGAAAACCAGGGCATCAGGGACAGCACTGACCCAGCATGTCTGCTGCCCACAGGGAACCCTCAGTTCAGAATGGGGATGGGGTGGGGGAGTGCGGATGAGGAGGGTCAGATGGAAACACAGCAACTACCAAGTAAGTGGAAGAAAATAACTCACTATCTTCTGTTCTTTTTCAGTTGTTTTCTAAATTTTCTATATTGAACAAGTATTTTATTTGCAATCAGAAAACAATGTATCAAATAAGTCAGTGAAGATGCTGCAATTTTACTAGGCACTGTGGTGAATGCACATATCACCTTACTGAATCCACACAGCTGCCCCAGGACATGAGTACTGCTGCCATCAACTCCATTTTATAGATGAGCAACCGGAGGTTCAGGAAGATGAAGTCACTCCCTCCAAAAGACGCTCAGTGGGTAAGCGGCAGGGCCAGGTCTATTCAGGCTCATGGCCCTGTTCGCCACCACCATGCAGCAAGGCTTACCTCTCATCTATTTCAAATGTGTCCTGTTCTTTTCAAGTAGCAACCTCTGGAAAGCAGTTAAGAATACTAATGCAATGGTGAGGACATGCCAAGCTCTTTGCTAGGTCCTCCTGGAGATCCGATCCTGATTGATGCTCACAAGCAGACCTGGATAAGGTCGGGATTATGTCCCCAATTTATAGATGGGAATACCGCAACTCAGAGAAGCTGTGAACTTCCCCAAGTCACAAAGCTGGAAGCAGGAGAGCCACATTTGAACTCAGGTCATTGGGCTCCAAGTCCATACACTTTTCCCTCCATCACACGGCTCCAGGTGGATTCACACATTGTTTTATTCACACCGTGAAGGATCCATCTATTTCAGGATTCCTCACGTGTAAGTCACACAAGAAAATCAGCCTCACATTAGGAGGCGGTTCACATTCAAAATGGTGTGATCCATTTGGCTCACCCAGAGTGGGACCCTTATAAGGCGTCAGATAAATTGCATCTCCTTAAAATAATTCAAATGTAAATTAAAACAACTGTCAAAGGAAAGGACTCTGCTCCCCTGAAGACAGAAGGAAAGAATGCGCTGCAGGTGCAGACGCTTCTCAGATTGTTGAGCTTGGGCCTCATTGTGCACCCCTCCCAGGGTCTGGAGCCGCGGGAGCAGGGGTGTGATAAGCACGTGTGGAAGGAATGAATGATGCACATGAACATCATCTCCTCATCCCCAAAGGAAATGGCAAGGGTCTTCCCCGCTAAGTTCTCACTCATGCCGACGGGGACCACATGGACGGTGACAGCGCAAGTATGGCTGACACTGTGCTCACAGAAGTGGTCAATCATGTCACTTTGTGGTTAGGATTAGGGTTGGGTTAGAAGCTTGGAATGGCTATGCCTGTGTCCTTATTGCATTCTTAGAGATGAGCTAGTCCAAGTCGAGAATTTTACAGATGGGGAGACCGAGGTCTGCAGCAAGGCAGTGACATGTCCAAGGTCACCAGGGAAAACTGTGGCAGAGCAGGAGGTCACGCCCAGGTCCCTGCTCCCACTTTCCTGTTCTTTGGGCTCAGCTTTGATGCCTCCTACAGCAACACAGATGGAAGGAAGAGATGAAGGTGGTGCGCATGTGTCTCTAAGGGGACAATAGGGAGCACTGTCTTGAAATATCACCATTTTCTGCTTTTATCTGGTTTTTAAAGTAATGCGTGTTCCTCATGCAAAATATGAAGTTAAATAAAAATTTGGAAAACATAAAGAAGTAAACAAAATTACCCATAATCCTCAACTCAGAGAAAATCTCTAATAAGCTTTCTATGTGCATGTTTCCTTATATGCATATTACAATCCAATTACCTATTTTAATATACATAATATGCATTCATACTCATATTTGATTTCAAGCTTTCTAGAAATTGTGATTTTTCTGTTTTCCACATATAGTGTGAGCATTTCTTCTACTATCGAAATCTCTTCAAAAATATCACTTCTAACGGCTAAGAGTCCGCTGAATGGGTATGCCACAATTCAGTCAACCGACCATCTACTATTATCAAGTGGGCTGTTACCAATATTTCACACACATACATCTCTGCACACAAATCAATGCCTTCATTTTCAACTATTTCCTTAAAACAGATTCTAAGAATTGGGATCACTGGGTTAAAGGGTATGAACTCTTTTTTTCAGGTATTCAAAAAAGTACCCCCTTTTAAAGGCGCCTGTCACCAATTGCACATGACAGCATGCATCTCACCTCAGCCTCACCAGCATTGCGGTTTTTAAAAACTACATTTTTCAATTTGATAAGCAATTTTCCCCAAAAGATACCCTGTATCCCACTGCTGTTTTAGTTTGCACTCCTGATTTTAGTGAGATTGAGTACTTTTATTAACCATTTGCATTTTCTTTTCTGCAAAAGTCTGCTCACATCTTTCCCCATTTTTAAAAACGGGGTCTTACTGTTTCCTCATGGATGGAGCTCTGTACTATATCAGGATGCTTCCTTTTATCTGTCGTGTGTGGCAATGTTTTTACTAGTTGTTTTCTTGTCTTTTCATTTTTTTTAATGTCCGTGCATCTTAAAAAAAACACGTAAACACATTTCCTATTCCTTCCGAGTCGAATCTATCAGTCTTTCCCTTTTGATTTTTCTCTCTGCTTTGATGCTCAGAGGCTCCTCCGGGGCCTGGATTCTGACAACGGGATGCCCCCTCCTCCTGGGATGTGGTTTCCCTCACCGACAGCAGTTGTGGTAAACTTAGTGTCTCACTACGGGTAACTCCACTCTGCTCCAAGAGGAAGTAATTAAAGGTCTCATGCTGGCTGGCCTGCCAGTTTGTTACTGCTTGTGCAGAACTCAAAAGAGGCACAGAGCCTAGGGGCGAAAAATCTGGCTACCTCGAAAAAGAGGGTGCCCTTCCAAAAGGAGCATCCAATGGCCTGTCCTGGGATACGCCAACTCCAGTCCCAGATATTATGGTGCTTTCTCACGAGGACTTCTAGAACTCACCGCTAAACTGGAACCTTTTTCATTCTTTGAAATAAGAGTAGTGATCACCTCCTCTTTGTCTTTAAGGATCTGAAAATCCACCTCAAGATTCCATACTCAAAGTGCTCTTTCAAAAGTATGCATCACTTCCCTGTTTAAAACCCTCTGAAGGCTTCCTCTTTCTGACAGCAGTGCCTCAGCTCCTTACGATGGCTCAAGGCCCCAGCCTACCTCTCCATCCTCACACCTACCTTTCTCTCCTCCCTCACCTCCACTAGAGCCACACTGACACCCTCCCTTCCTCTAATTCTCTCCCTGGAAGCTCTTCTCCCAAATTGTGCATGGGTGTCTCATTCTTATCACTCTCTCATCAGCTCAAGTTCATTTCCTCAAAGACACCTGTCCTGTTCACTCCATCAAAATTTGCCCCAATTCTCATGGTGTCCTATTTTCCTTTCTTCACAGCTCTTGTGACAATCGTATTTCTCCTGTTTATCTGTTTAGATGTTTCTTGTCTGTCCCTTCCCTCTAAACACATCAGCTCAGTGAGAAGAGGGGACCTGCCCATCTTGGACAAACTAGGCCATCCCAATGTTTTTAAATGTGTGATTGAGTTAATGAACGCACGTATAAAGGAATGAATAAATGAACGGACACAAAGTGGAATGGCCACTGGAAAAGGGAGGGACCTCTTTCCTTGTGGTCCTAGAGAAGAGAACGAGGGCTGACGGCCATGTTGCCACGAGACACCACGTGGCCTCTAATAACCAGGGGCTGCCTTACAAGCTAATGAGTTCTGTCTTCCTGGAGATATATTAGCATCACCAAGAACGTTTTAACTCCAGGGAACTCAAGTTGGACCCCACGACCCCTCAAGATGCTCAGATATGATATGTGGAAAGATAAACACTTTCTATGAGGGATATATCTGGGCAAACTGGGCATGTGTTCCACTTCAAATCCTGCCATTCACTGCTACATAGAATGCACAGGGTCCTGACAGCCCGGGGTTGAGGGGTTTGCAAGGAATGCAGAGAAATTAGTGGCTCAAGCCAGGCGACCTGTGGCATACGGTTCCTCCCTCCATATCCAGCACCCCAGGTTCTCTATCTGGTCAGGGAAGGGCCAAGTCCTCCATGTCACCCCAGCATCCAAGGATGTGGCTGCCAGCAGTTATCAGGCCCTGACAGTGGGCTGAGTCCCCTGTCTGGAGGCTGGAGATCCTGAGATGACCCCTGTTTTCAGGAAACTCACAATTTGAGAGGACTTGGGTACGATTCTAAAGGACAAGGAATTGCTAAATGAACAAATGAATAAGTGAGTGAAATAATAGAGGCATGTACAAGGTATGAGAGTGGACTGAAGAGTGTATTCAACTCTGTCTGGGGGTGGGTGTGAATGAGTGTGTGCTGGAAGGCACGGGGCTTGAGAGAAAAGGAGCAGTTTGTCATGTGGGCAGGGTTTTGCGGGTATCTCAGGTAAGAGATCAAGACCTGCAGACGAATGGATGGACCCTCGTAGCAGGGAGCATAGTGGACAGTGCTGGTTTTTGTTTTATCTGCTCAGTATCCTCCTTTTCTTTTTTTTGAAAACAGAGCCCGTGATAAAATCTTCTCCAATCAAAGAACCACATTTCCCTGGGCAGTAACTGGTCTAAGGATTGCATCTCTGATGTAAAATGGGCCCATCAGAATCTCTCTGAGTGCTGGGAGAGGGGAGTGGCCGGCTGAGCCACGTGAGGTAAACTGGGGTTGACGGACACCATTTTCTCCATATGTGGAGGGATCCCATCGGTAGGAGAAGTGCCACTGAGAACAGAGACAGGGAGGGAGGCAAAAGCCCTGTCTACATCAGTTGAGTCCCTGAATCCTGCTGAGCCTGACACCAGAGCCCTCTCTATCTTCTGAGTTATGTGAGATAGGAAGTATCCTGTTTTGCCCGCAGTAGTTTGAACTGGGTCTGTTGCTTGCCATCACTATTGCTCTGACTGATATC